TAAAAATATAAAAAATAATTCTTAATTAAAAATTTTTGTAAGGTAGTGCCCTAATTGGTAACAAGAAAAATATTATATTCTTAATTAAAAAAGTTCTGAAAAATGGTGTTCTTAATCCACGCATGATTTCCTTTTAAAAATAAGAAATCTAAAAAGAAATGAAGCTTCTTTCCGAATACTTAAGCCCATGGATCCGCAAGAAAACTTTTAGATATTTTCAATTTAGAAAATGATGAATATATTTTTTAATTCAATATACCTACCAATTTTTATTAATTTAATCATTAAAATTTATTCTAAAAGATTTTTTTGTCTTGAATTTAAATTTAAAAATAATAATTTGGTAATAAATATGATATAGAGTGCACTAAATTAAAAAGCGCACTAAATTAAAAGCATACTAATTATTGTTTTTTTAATTTATATATACAAATTCTAAATGATATTGAACATATTTGTATATATGTATATATATATAACAAAATCAAGATCGAAGATCAAAGAGAGCAAGATAGTGTACTGTATATCTGCAGCAGGTTTAGTAGAAAGAAATTGAAGGAAGTTGGACACTAACAACAGAACAAGGCCAAGCAAATTAGAGGTAGCATTTGCTCAATTTTTCTTATGAGAGGAGTTTGATTAGCCAACTTAGGAGAAGAGACTTCTGCCTTTAGTCAATGAGAAAGCCAATTGAAGGACTTAATATTTGGATTTGGACATAGGTCGTCCTTAAATAGATGGTGCAGGAAACCTGGTCAACCAAATATTAAAGCTATTTTAGGGTAGACTGAAGCTTGCTACTCCAAGAAGTACATGTAAGTTGAGGGTAATTAATTATCTCACTAGAGTAAGTTTTAGAGATTTTTCATTCTTCAATTAGGGGGAGGATGACAATTTGTAAGGTTGTGTTTGGAATGTATTTTATTGATTGTTTTAAGGGTTAATTTATTTATCATGTACTCTAAACATTATCTCTTTTTATTACCTTTTATCTTATTTAATGATTATCACTTTATATCTTGAAAATGATAAAGTTAATTTTTTAATTTAATTATAAATATCATGTGTTAAGTTTTTATTAGTTAATTTTAAGTTAAAAATTAGAAATTATTTTTTAATATAAAATTTTACTTTTTTAAGAAAAAAATCATAATTATTACATAATAATGATTTTTCATCTTGTACATACAAAATAGACAAAGCCTTGTTTTAAAATTCAAACCAATTTGATTAGATTAACTAGTTCAATTAGAATTAATCCCAACAACAGTCTGGGTTAATGCTTGGTCTGGGAGCATGGAGTTATAGTTATAATCGTAAATTTTTTTATTTTTTTAATATAGGGGTAGTGTTTATCCACTTTACTTCTAAAAATTTAAAGGAAAAATTATTTTAAAATTATATCATTTTAATAAAATATTATAGGAAAAGAAATAAAGCATTCTAATTCATTCTTTAAAAATAAGATATTTTAATTTTTTTCAATAAATATTTATTAAAATAACATAGTTTTCGAATAATATTCTTTTTAATTTTTAAGAGGTAAAGGTAGATAAGCACGATTTTCTTTTAATATCTCAAAAATATATATATAACATATCTAATATACCTAATATTTATTTTCACTATATTTTATATATTTTTTTAGATGGTGATAAAATATATATATATATATTTTAAGATAATAAAAAGACAAAAAAAAAAAAAATCAAAGGTTAAAGATCCAAAATGTATTTCCAAACTAAGCCTAAGATATTACATGGTAGTAGTCAAAATCCAGTCAACACCCAGTCAAATTTAGATAAATTTCATCAAACTCAGTTAAATCTAATAAAAACCCGATCAACACAAATTGGTTCATTTTTTTTCTTTTATTTTT